GTCCCATACCAAATCCTTATCCTAATCCCTTCCCAGTGCTACACAGTATAGTCGTAATATCTTGATGCTTTCTACTAATAGTTCCCTTACATTCTTTCCCTGTTAAGCATGACTCAATCTTGTCATATTTTAATGGCCATTCTTAGTACCTCCACCATGCCGCCTGCTGAGTAGATGATACATTCTACCTGAGGCTTGTGATGCATGCTGTCATTGGATCATTGGGCCTCTCTCTAGGGACTCTGCTTATCAAGCAAGAGCCGCTTTATGACTTGGTGTCAATGTGTTTGCCCCAGAGCCTGCCTCCTTGTCTTCCTTCGACCTGGACATGAAGCAATTGGTGGTTTCCACTTGCTCCAAGTTTGCTCTCTATCTCCCTCCCTGGGCCCGGCAGGTATTGTTCAGTGGGTTCTGGGGCCTCCCTCTTTGCTCTGGGCTCCAAAGCATATGAGGGTTTGATGATTCTTTGGATGAAGTTGGGCCTTCTGCCCGAAACGCTTTGCGTAATAGTGGCTTTAGGCATTGTATGTACTAGCTCTACCTATAAGTCAACCAATCTTTGTAAAAATTTATTGTATGTATGTACCTTACCTAAATAAACATTTTATTTATTTTTTTTCTCTGGGGGACTGCCCCTTTCACTTCGACAACGAAGGTAGTCGAGCTGCAACTTCCTGCCCAAGAATCTGTTACCGTCCATTTCTCAAGGTTGGAGGGGAATTGCAACTGCAGAACCTTTCCCTGTGGAAATATATTTTGCTGTCCATTTCATCTGGTATAGAACACAACTCTGCCCTGGAGCCATCACTTCCTGGGTTTTTCAGGGCTAAGGGAATCCTAAGGTGGGTCACTGGGTGCCCTTGCACCCTGATTGGTCTTTGGTTTCCTTTGTAGAGGGTATTCTTTTATGGCAGAGGGTTTGTTACACTCATCTTCATTTCTTTACATGGATTTCTCATAATCCCTACCCCAATGTGTACTGGGTTTGTTTAGAAACCAAACAAGCATCTTATTTGCAGAAATTTACTGAATTTTGTCTTTCGCCCACAGCAGTACACAGATCTGTTTCAGTCCCTTCTTTAGCATCAGGATCTTGATGCCGAAGACTGACTCATCTTCATTTGAATTCAGATTTGCTGCTTTTCTCAGACTGTGGTACAAAGTTCCTGATTCATCCTGGCTAGCGGGAAACCCTTTCTTCCTTGGGGGTCTGTCATGGCTTTTGTGGCATCCAAACGTTCAGGTGGAATGAGGTAAGTAACTGTTAAGTAATTGTAAGTAACCAAAACTCTTTTTAACATTTAAAGTATAGTTGGAAAAGATCATCAAGGCAAATGGGGGGGGCCTTCGACAAGCTGCTGGCTTCCTGTCCTCATCGAGGCCATTAATGTCCTGCCCGAAACGTTTGCGTAATAGTGGCTTTAGGCATTGTATGTACTAGCTCCATCTATAAATCGATCAATTTATGTAAAATCTCTTGTATGTATGTACCTTACCTGAATAAACATTTTATTTTTATTTTTTATTTTAGTGGCTCTCAGGTAAACTTAGGTAAGTAGTCTTTCAGGCATCCCCAGGTGGTGCTTCTTTTTCTGTATGGAGAGGGACGAGTGATTGTAGACTTGCGCGCGCAGCGGAGTACTTAAGGGGCAGCTTGGGTCACTGCACCATTACAGCCCCGCTCCTGTGTCAGGTAAGTCTACTTCGGGCTCACTATAGCAGGTGCTACTTGGAATGTTTTGTTCAAAGTAGTTGAATCTAAAGCAGCAGCATCATTGCACCCTCGCCAAACCACCTGGGAACACCGTCCGATCATGCATTCTCCTTTTGCCCCAGAAGTCATCTGCTTTGCGACGCGCAGTTTTTCTCCAAGCTACTGAAAATAATAATACCAGGTGGGATATATATAGCGATGCCCGGGTAATCCCATTGGCTGGCTCGTTCAGCGAGTTTCAGATCGCGAATCTCAATGGCGTTGAATATCTTTCACTAATTCACTCACAACACTGGTCGAAGATGAGAATGTAGGAAATGCTATCTGTGTTGTCTGCTCTATAAATACCTAAAAATTTCAAGATCCGTGGATGAGATTTGAACCTGTGCAGCTCGCGTGATGCAAAGCCGAGTGCTGTACCACTGGATCAACACACCACAAAGCCGAGTGCTGTACCACTGGACCACCTTTGTTGTGTGGTGGTACAGCTCTCAGCTTTGCTTCACACGACTTCAGACTGAGATAAATCAGAACAAGAAAACACAGGTGGAATCTGGAAGTGCAAATGAGCCGAAGGAACGTAAGAAAGTACTCGCACCCTGTACGGGCAGTTAACAAGTGGAGTACTCTAAAAGAGGAAGTTGAGGAAACCACCTCCATCCACAACTTTAAAGTCTAGATTCGCCCAAATATCTGAAAGGGTAGTTAAGTTGTAACGCAACAAGTACAAGAGACAGCCCCGCTCCTGTGCCAGGTAAGTCCTTTACGGGTTCACCATAGCCCGTGCTACTTTGAACTTTTGTTCTGAGTAGCTGAATCAAAAACAACAACAAGGTACAAGATTATAGACGGTCGGGGCATAAAAGAACTAGACCTCGCTCCTCCGTAGACACTAATTAGGCAAGTGGACGAGCCGAGGTTCAAACCTCATCCATGGCGCTTGGAAAATATACATATACATATATTTATTTATTATATAAATATAATGTGTGTTATGCGCGAGGGGACCACTTAGCCTCTGGCCTAGTATTGAATTGCAACACTTTCACTGCAAGAGAACCTTGTGTCAACACGCCATTGCACAGTCATCTTTGTTGACCTTCTTGCCTTAAACTGACCAGCAGTATTAGAACCATAGCCCATGAAACAGGCGGAGGTTTCACCACCTTACTCAAGGCGCGGTAAAATATTTTGCTGGACATCCTAATAAAGTCGATATGATTTTTTTTTTTTTTAGTAATGAAGAAATTGTTGTTGGTGGCTCATATGGCATGTTTATGATGTAGTGTTCAGTTAGAGTGATGCGGTTAAAAGCATATGGGAACTCTATAGACTGAAGATATATGAAAGTTTACAGAAATTTGAATGGTATTCCTCAGAGTGATGTAATAAGGAGTGAAACTATAGGTGAGCATATAGGCTTAAGAAACTCTGACAACGTATAATTTCAAACTGATTTCAAACTCATTTCAACTCGAAACTCATTTCAAACTCAAACTCATTTCATCGATAATTTCAAACTCAACGTATAATTTCAAAATTTCAAACTGTCAAGCAAACTGTCAATTTCAAATTCAAATTCAAATAAATCTCTGTATCGGTTTCATCCTCTTGGTACAAACCGCATTATGCGTCCAGTTTCATAAACAATTACGTTAGAACAAAATCTGTTAACTGAGAATTAATTCAATATACAGAACTTTCCCAACAGCAGATTATCCAGTAAAATGAGTACTTTTATTAACACATTTAACTGCCTCTTAAGCACCTTTATTACGAGTAATAGAGACACATAATAATAATAATAATAATAATAATCTTTATTTAGGTAAGGTACATACATAAAGAGATTTACAAAGTTTGTTGGCTTTATAGATAGAGCTAGTACATACAATGCCTAAAGCCACTATTACGCAAAGCGTTTCGGGCAGGAAACATACACTATAGCCTGAGAAAACTGGAGTCCAAGCTCAATTTTGACATTTAACAATAATTATAATTCCCTCAGCTTCTCACCGCAAAAAAATATATGAAGTTAATTGGATAAGATTTTGGTCCAGAGGTCAACTCTTCCTACATTCACAAGGGGGATTATACGTGAATACAATAAAATAAGTGTAATGTATTTTATAGTCTAGTAAGGGGGTTGTAGTGAGAAGCATATGATGCTTATTATAGATGACATCTTAGGAAAGCCTAGCTGGTATAGCCTTGTGCCAGCTGCCAGATGTTATTGTTAAAGATTCGCTACTTGGAACAAACAGTTCCAAGTAGCACGGGCTATGGTGAGCCCGTAGTGTAGCTGCCAGATGGTAATCCCAGCTGTCTGTAAGCGCAGGCAACTGGTGGAGGCTAATAATATATTGTATGTTTGTCCAGTCAATTTATGCACTGCTGTGAGCGTATAACTTTTGTAATGGTACTTGTTTGATTTTGATATGACGAGGTAATCTTTTTTTTTATATATTGATTAGTTGTAGCTGTCTGTTGCCACACGGGAGAGAGATATAGCAATCGTTATCACGAGAATGATCTTCTGATAACCTAAGGTGATCAATTATATATTTAAAAATGAATCTTTTTAACAGTAAAGGGGTAAGATAAGACTGGAACCGTGACTGTGATCCCGTTGCTAAGAGTTAAAACAGTTTCTCATGAGAAGTGAAGTAGAGGAAGGAAGCCAAACACTGTGAACCACCTGCCAATGGCTGACCCAGAGAGTGCTTATCCACTGAACACTTCCGTCCGCTCGAGTTATTTCTCTTTCAAACTCCTTGTGGCGGCGATCGCTTTCACACACACACGTGTCAAAGATTGGTATCTATTTTGAAGCCAACCAAAGCAGCTATATGGCATATGATATGTGTTTATCCTGGGTATTGTTAATAAGAGAAAGGTAAAGACGTTAAATCATGTAGGGGATGTTAGATAATGTCTTAAGGGGCCAACAGAACGTTGGCAACAGTGAGATGGAGTGCAGACCCCCACCACCACCAACCCTGGTCTACCACACGCGGCTCGGATAACCTCACTTTATCTCCCAAATAGCCCTCCATTTAACCACATCCTCGTTTTAATTAAGTAACAGCCACTTAAATAGATGAGCTAATTGCCTGTTATTGCGGCAGATGACCCGCTTAGTTTAGGCGGAATTGAAGAGGGTGGCGGTGTGTTGCATCGGTGATGGAGCAGCAGGACTTGCATCATCAGCAGTGCGAGGTGCCCAGTGTCACTCGGGCAGCCAGAGGGTGAGGGAGGCGCTCTGCTCCTCCTCCAAGGTGATTAATTACTTGCGTGAGATAAAGCTGATAAAACACCTTCTTTTTTCCCCGAAGCTCAGACGGTTCGAACCGGCGGACTGACCGAAACAATGCAGTGATGTGACTCGTGTCCTCGACGCAATAATGTAAATAATTAAGTGTAGAAAGTAATATATATATTTTGTCTTGCCTGGGTGATGGATAATGTATAATCCTGACCGCACATGCCAGACAGGTTATACACATTATACACGAAGGAGATATACACCTCATCGTCTCGGGTTGCAGGGGACGGAGCCAGGTGTTGGCGACGGGCGTCTTGGGTTAAGGCACTAGTGGCTCCTTATTGTGCAACTCTTAAGGTACTCTTGGGTTGTTAAGCCATATCGGGGGAAGGTGTTAAACGAGACGACTGCTATTTTAAGAGTCGGTGTAAATAAGATTATCTACGTAGTCCTCGAGTGATAAAATCGGTCTATTTTTGATAGATTAAATGTGACCAAATAGACCTCGTAATATGCTACTTGAAGACAAATACAAAATACAAAACAGTTCAAAGTTATCAGGAGTTCGCTGGTGTTTAGCTAACTTGATATTCATGCTATTTGAACAACTTAAATCCATTATCATTAAGGTAGTAATCATTTTCAGAACGGAAATTGTAATAATTTTGCTCCACCCTCTACTACATAACGCATAGACCACCCATAATCTAATTAGCATGCCAAGCGTAGCCTCCTAATCTTTATGCAAAACCTTGTACCGTACACCTTTGCAGACCAGACTTGCTTGTATAAAGGGCTGGAGAGATGCTATTGGATACTCCGGGGGGTGACATAATCTGGCCAGGAACGCGAATCAATGTATCGCTGTTTACTTATGGCCATATGTTTGTTTTATGATGTGTTTGGATGAATGCGGCTCTCAGTCACTTGCATACTGGTGCTACTCGATACCTTGTTCTAGCTCTGTGCACGGACCGTGGTTCTAGTTCTGTGCACGGACCGTGGTTCTAGTTCTGTGCACGGACCGTGGTTCTAGCTCCGTGCACGGACCGTGGTTCTAGCTCTGTCTGTGCACGGACCGTGGTTCTAGCTCTGTGCACGGACCGTGGTTCTAGCTCTGTGCACGGACCGTGGTTCTAGTTCTGTGCACGGACCGTGGTTCTAGCTCTGTGCACGGACCGTGGTTCTAGTTCTGTGCACGGACCGTGGTTCTAGCTCTGTGCACGGACCGTGGTTCTAGTTCTGTGCACGGACCATGAGTAATTCTGTACACGAATTTCCGTTAAATGGCATAGATTCCTTGGCCTCCCTCGTAATTGCTCAAATGGAGAATCGACTTCCTCTAATCTTTCGACAGTGGTGCCTATAGTATGGACAAGACAACCACTCTACTTTTTCCCGTTTTAAGGAACATTAAACGGGAGCAATTTTGATTTTTGGTTATGAATGATTTGTGTGAATTAATGTCATACCTGCCCATCCTCCTGTTTAGGTAATATTTACAGTAACGATAAGGACCATCGTTCGTATATTGACGTAAAAGGCAATTAGAAAGTAGAAATCGCTACTACTGAATTGGGACAAACTGCAAAAGTTCTTGAACTGATGTTGCAAAGAAAATTTAATCTAACCTTACCTAACCATCATAGACCTAATACACGCTATCTGAGGCCTAATATAGTACATGTGCTAGGCATAAGAATGTTTAACTTTAGTTTTTAACTTTATTTTCGGACTAAAGTGAATAGCATTGAATTCTACTAATTGTCTATTACGTCTATGTATGTACGAGGGTCTACATAGTTACAAAAACTACTATCTAAACAGGAGGATGGGTTGGCTATACACAAATCTACTCCATTACCAGAACTTGCTTTAGAAATTATTGCATTGGCCAATAGTTGTCAGTTAGGCCTTAGGTTTTTCAGTTTATATTTCTTGAGGCAAAAGACGAGCTGTAACTCTAGCTATCGATTATCCTGAGTTCAATAATACATTAATTACTGTTTCACGGAAAACATGTCAATTTTTGATGGAATTATGAAGTTCAATGAAGCCAACCCAATCTCAGACTCTTGTAGCATTTACGGAAGTGTGGCTTCACGATATGATGCAACTTTATGGCGTTTTTGGATTTGTCTGGGCTAAATGTAGGTAGTTATAGGAGTGTTGAAGACACAAAACAGCCATGCGAGCTTAAATCTGTGAAATGAAGAAGAGCGTCAGGACCAGTTTGTTCCGAAATTTTGAAGTTACAAATTACAGATTATTGGATTGTCAATTTGTTATACAAAATGCATTTCATCTTTTTAGTGTATCGGTGTAACATTCAGGCACAATGTATTTCGACGATAAAACATGTAATTGTTGCCCAGGAGAAAAATAAGTACATGTGTGTGTGTTGAGTGCATCGTAAAGTGCGAGCTTGACGCATAGCTTGAGCTGTCGACTGATCCAGTGAGGAGTTACTTCAGTTTGGGCAAGAGGCAGCCTAGAGGCTTCGACATACCTTTGGCCAAGCAACCCAGTGAGGAGTTACGTTGAAGTAGCACCTTTACTAGGGTTGTTGACTCGTCTTATGCCCTCACCGACGACTGAAAGGTAAGACTAACTTTAAGTAAGGTAAGACTTTTGACTAACTTTAGATAAAAAGGTGTTGGGTGTTGACCAGACCACACACTAGAAAGTGAAGGGACGACGACATTTCGGTCCGTCCTGGACCATTCTCACAATCGACTTGAGAATGGTCCAGGACGGACCGAAACGTCGTCGTCCCTTCACTTTCTAGTGTGTGGTCTGGTCAACATATTTCAGTCACGTTATTGTGACTCCTCGCCAGCGTGTTCGGTGTTCATTTAAGACATTCTTATTATTTAATATAAGCAAAATATAAATGTAAATTATGAACATGCGTAGTAGGTAATTGTCAATGTTGCTTTACGCCAGAAAATGGTATTTCGTTGGTGGCTTACAGAAATAGGAGATAGGATAATATATGTAATTGGATATTGTCTCTTGAGAGATGCCTACAGTTTTAGTGTCACAAGGCTAGCCCCTGGATACAATTTAACCCTTCATGTAGCCATTGGGAGCTACATGAAGCTACGCAAGCTGGCAATCCCTCACTAAAGCAGACTACGCATTTTGCTGTCGAAGTTACGCAGCCTACGCTCGTATCACACACCCATGTTCATTTATCTTCTTGAGCAAACAGTAACATAACATTGCAGGTACGTGACGATAAATTAAATCGGTTAATGAACATTAATTGCCATAAGGTAATAGATGATACAACGACTGCATCAGAAGGCTAGGCTTCTTGGCACAGAATGTTAATGAATGGATTCTTACTGTAACGAATCTGTGTAGTGTGTTCTTGCCAAGTATGTCCGTACCTAGTTGATTCTTGCCTAGGTGTTCTGTAGAGACTGAGCTCCACCTCCTTGGCGTCGACTTCAAGCTGTTTGCATTGCAGTGACCATCGATCCTTTGGTGCCCATGATGTGGTATAGTGATTGATGTGCCATTAGTCGGACAGCAAGGTTAAGTACCGTTGGGTCTGACCAGTAACTGGATGGGTGCCTACTCGACGATTTTCAGCCGAAAGGGAGATCTCGATTAGCTCAAACAGGCTTCGTACTGGTGACAATAGTATACTATTTAACAAAATATATATAAATATATATAATGTACATATAATATATATATATATATATATATATATATATATATATATATATATATATATATATATATATATATATATATATAATGTGTGTGTATAAAAAAGAATAGGGGTGGTAGAAGAAAATATTAAAGTGTTCAGTAAGAACCCCCAAGGTCTTCTCTGAATACTCTTTTTTCTTCTCCGAGGCTATGGGTCTCTACAATTGCACCAGAGGATATCCTCATACTTTATATATAATATATATGTATATATATATATATATATATATATATATATATATATATATATATATATATATATATATATATATATATATAATGTATGCATATGTATGAGTGTTTACGCACGACGAGAACTTGAATGTCTAACCTCTGTTTATTGATAGATGACTCAACACACCAAATAAGCACATGCAATACTCCTTAAACCGTTCTTAAGTTATTGGCTTGTGCACATGTCATCCCCCCCCCCTTCCCCAACACTCCTTTCCAGACGTCTACCTTCACTACAGACCAATATTAACGATCTATTGCAGCCATAGTTGCGTAAACTACGCCTTTCTTCTTAATGTTATTCACTCTCGACTTCCTCCCTCTGCCGAGGAGCAACTCGGGATAATGGCTACCATGAATTTTGCCTTTGCTACTCTGTTGACGTTTGAATGGCTCCCGCCTCGGCTTTTTCCAAGAATATGCTTAAATTGTTTTACTGCTAAGATGGTGAAACGGTCTCTACTTAACTAAAGAGGCGTGGCCTAGTGCGTCTTAAAAAGGACAATTCTAATTAGGGTATCCTATTGTATAGACCCAGGCGAGTAATAAAGTTACATATATATATAGCCTATGCATAGTAATTTTCATTGTAATTGCTTTCAGGACATTGTCGAAAATCATTATGTTCATTATTCGTCTCGTTGCTATATTTGGCAATACTTTGTAAGGCGATTCTAAAAACTGCTTATTTTTCCATGTTATTTATATTCTAAGGTTGAACCCGCAATAACTCACAGGCTGAAGAGATAAAGAAATAAGTTTAAAACCAATGGTAATATATTACTGCATTTATAGGCAAGTAATATTGATGATAGCAAAGATTCGACGAAATATAAAAATTAAGCTGGTTGATTAGCTTAGCTGATATTGAACTGGGATTAAATGTTTTCTGCTTTTTGTTTCATCATTTTATGTGCGTATTTATTTTAGAAAGTTAAAAACAATGGAAGATTTAAAATACTTAATTTAGGACTATATAATTAACAGTTGAAATTGTTATGTAAACGTTTCATTGTGGCTTTGACTTCTTATAAAGATTGCCTAGTACCCTTTTTTTAAATTAACGCTGCCTAGTAGCTTATTCTTATAGACACTGCCTTGTAGATTATACTCTTATTGGTCTAAGCATTACATAATAGCTTATTCGGTCACATACGCCTTAGCATTGCTATAAGATTATTCGTATACACGTGGCATATATATTTTGAAGCCTTTATATATTTGATGCATGTCTTGAAATATTTTCATATAGCATACCTGATCTTTTACACGGTTGAATGGGCTTTATGGTCAGATTACTTAGAGCTTTTCTTTACAACAGGTCTGATGAAAACGATTAAGATCAATTGTTCTAGCGCTAATCGCTAGAACAATCTCTTTTTCCAAACTTTTTTTTTCATTTGAGAAGTTGAAAAATTAGCTCTACAAAGCTCATTTTTAAATAAAACTGTAAACATGAACTTTGGAGAGTTAATTTTTCCGCTTCTTAAGTGAAGAAAGTGTAAGGAAAATAGAGAAGATTCGCATTAGAGTCATTGATCTCATACATTCGGTCACATTCAATAATCTATGCCTACAGGAAAGACTGCTACCAAAATATACTAATATATTAAATTTATAGAGAATACACTCGGTGAAAATGGGGAAAACACGGCTCTACTCCTATTTTTTTTAACCTTGCCCGTCGCGGTGGCTACAGACTGCATTATCAGCACTTTGAAATTTGCATAATAAAACATATATTAAATCAATAGTCTGGCCGCAGTTAGAACCGGTTTCGCTCTTTTGTCCATTGAATATTCAGTTATAAATACCATTCATCATAGCCTAATGATATAATTAAAACATTCGCATTTGATCAAGTTCGGGAGATAGGCAAAGAATGTGAATGTATATTGGTTAGCCTAGCCTATTTTACAGCTAAAATTGTTGAATTAAAAAAAAAGTTGGAAGATAAGAGTATCTTCCACCAGGTCCTTGACCCAGATCTGCTTAGGATATGATCATTGATCAACCAAGTTATCTATAGATTTAGAACAAAATTGCGAAAGCACTTCGCCAGTTGTACGACTTGGGACAATTGGGAATACCAATTGGGACACCGCGAGCGTAGCTCTCATCAAGTTCAAGTATGTTTATTGAGACAAGAAAGCAATACATCTCAAAGGGATAGAGTAGCTTAGGCTATTTCTACCTCCCCCTAGCTCTCATCCTGTAACTACACTTAGGTAATTACAACTCGATAGAAGTTCACTGCACTCTTGAAATTACCTAGATATTGCTATAAGTGCCGACTTGAATGTTTTAAATTACTGTTATTAAATCAATTTCACAGCAAGTGACTGAGAATGGTCTTGCTCTGGTTGGTAAAATTGAACTACAATAGTCAACTATAGTCCTAGAGAGGCCTTAATTCTGTAATCCTTTCACCCGTTCACCCGTCCCATTCCAAATCCTTATCCTGACCCCTTCCAAGTGCTATGTAGTCGTAATGGCTTGGCGCTTTCCCCCCAATAATTCCCTCTCCTTCTTTATGTATGTGATAGCATTATTTCGGATGGTACAATATTATATTGATGATGTTTGTGAGTTAATTAGTAATTGCTATACTACCTTCGTTAGGCTAATCCGCTACACTCTCAACGCTTACATTTAATTAATGCTAATTACTCTATCCGAAAATTGACTTAGTAAATCGAATGCAAATAAAGTCGTATAATTAATATACACATGTTTGACTCTGCCTCGTTCACTACGCAGAAGTCTTCATCGGTTTTTTGTTCTTGAATGTATCCATAACCCAAGTGTCTAAACTAATTATTTATTGTCACATTTCAACCCATACTCCTAACACAGCGTCTCATTTTGACGTATACTCTACCTAAGTTCAACAATCATCGTACTCGAAAATGGATAATGCTCGCGAAATTGACATACTGTCCCGTTTTCTGTTGAGGGTCCTCTGGTAGGTTTCAATTAGGGCATTTTAGTACGACAGTTTCTTGACGTTGGGGAAACCTTAGGAGGACGGACTGCATACGAGCCGCATTATAAATTGTCCATGCTGGGAGAGCATGGACAATTAGGCTAGGCTTGGTCTAATCCTGCCCAGGATTAGTGTCAGAATCCTGCATGGCAGGATTAGACCAAGCCTAGTTTGGATGGCAGGATTAGACCAAGCCTAGTTTGGATGGCAGGATTAGACCAAGCCTAGTTTGGATGGCAGGATTAGACCAAGCCTAGTTTGGATGGCAGGATTAGACCAAGCCTAGTTTGGATGGCTCTTGTTTCTTAAGACTTTTAAGGAAAAAAAACGACCCGCTGGTTATCTGCGTGCTGAAGCACTGGAGTGTGTGTTGATATATTGAAATTGAAATTGAAATAAGTTTATTGAGGTAAAATACACACAAAGGGATGAGGTAGCTCAAGCTATTATCACCCCATTGATATATTTGTATAGTGAGATTAGACAATTAGCCGTGAAGTTAGTGGGAGAATAGTGTCTAGGACGCACAATGTGTGAATACATTGCCTAGTGAACACCAGTAGGGTTCGTCAGCTGGGTGTGAATAAATGCTGAACATTAGTAGGACCCGTGAGCTGGGTATGAACAAATAGGGAACACGAGTAAGGGCGGTTAG